CAAATGTCTAATTGACTATATTAATTTATTACAATATTTAAATATTTTTTAAAAATAGTACTGAGAAAAATAATAAAAAATAAAGTAGCACTGATACAACACCTTATGTTGAAACAAAAAGGAATTAAATCAGAACTGAAGACACCAGGGGCATGGTCATTAGGGAGGGCACACTTTTCAAAAATAGGAAATATTTAACTTTTTCCTAGAAAATAAAACTGAAAAGGGGGAGAACTGGTGAACTAAGGAGCAAGCCCTTCATGCTTAAGTTGTGGGGTGGCCAAAGAACCACCCTAAATACGTATGCTGGGAGGAAGTCTAGAAATGATGCTGAGTATTTACCATGGTGGATTTATAAAAGGTAAGAAACCAAAAGCTCACAAATGGGGGCTGGGGATTTAGCTCAGCGGCAAAGCGCCTGCCTGGAAAGCGCAAGGTCAGGAGTTCGGTCCCTGGTACCGGAGAAAAACCAAAGAAAACAAACAAACAAACAAACAAACAAAAAAACAAAAGCTCACAAATGACTTGGAAAAAGAGCAATGTCCTCACAGAAGGAATATTTAAGGCGCTTTTTATTCTGGCACTGTACCACATGCTGTGAACTGCTGAGGGATGTGCAGAGTTCCAGGGATTGTTGTCAAACGTTAGCGTGGAGGTGTGGAGCAGGACGGCGGCTTCACAGAATAAGGTTAAATGAGAAAGTATCCCGGGAGAATGGGCACGGTGATTTGACGAGAGATGGGGTGCACATTCTGCAACAGGAGCATCTTCCTGCTGAGAGCAAGAATAGCTTCTAATTCCTCCAAGAATAGCTTCTATTCCTCCAAGAATAGCAAGAATAGGTTCTATTCCTCCAAGAATAGCTTCTAATGTTCTGGGAACACTGGGCAACCGGGAAGGTCCTGATTTAGGGGAAGGTGAAACTGATGTGTGTAAACCTTTAGGCCAGTGAGGGCAAAGCATAAGAAAGGCACTCTCTTCACGGGCTTAGGTGTGTTCGGGCCACACTAAGCTGCAGCTTCTTGTAGTGTGAATACCCTCCAGATATTGTTCAGTGCTTCTCCATTCAGAATAAGTGCCCTGCCCACCACCGTCCAATCATCTCCAAGTTGGTTATAACTTCCAGAGCACTGCGCTCACCCATGACAGTCAGGAGGTCTGGTGAGGAGGTTTTGATGCTCAAGCCAATCTCTTTTTTTCTTCCAACACCTCAGTAGATTGGTACCTGCTTCTCACGCCTCTTTCTTACTCTGCTTCCTACCATTGACCATAAATTCATCCACGGGGGATAAGGGAAGTGAATAGTGTTGTGGGACCCTTGTGATGAAATAATCACCCAAGGTAGGAACAGACTATTTTCCTGCAGGAAAAATTTGTTTCCCCTAGTTTGTTATAACAGCCTTGTCAATCACCCAGTCCACTTGCAATCCCTTTCCAGTCACCCCGGAAGTTCTATTTGTCTGACCTGTTTCTTGTTCCGGTTTTCCTTCTTATTCTTTGTGGTGATCTCTGACACTTGCAGACTTGTAGTTGACTTAAATCTTCCTTCATAAACTTCTATTTACGCTTGTTGGCTGCTGAGCCTGCCACTCACAGCTTCAGGGTATCATCTGCCCTATCTCTTCTTACGGGAGGGTTATGTTAAAGCGTCTGTCTTTGTTAAGAAATCTAATGTCTGTTCATGGCTGTCACACAAGGGTGGCTTAGTAGTAACCGTCATATCACAAACCAAGGGCTGCCTGTACCCATGGTATTTCAGTCACTTCAGCAGACTGTTCAGAGTGCTTTAGAGAGTTTCAAACTAGATTATTTTCTTAGTCCCAGAGAGGTATCCCTCATACATTTAAAATCCTAAGGAATCATGTGGATGGTGTGGATCAAGTGAAGATTAATACTTATCCTGAATAGTCTTTTTTATTTCTGTGCACCTACCATAACATTGTATTTTCCTCTTAATTATTTAAAGATTCAGAGGCAGTTGATGGTAACCTTCAGACAAGTGGTCCAGTTATGTCCAGTCTGTCTGCTACTCTATGGCATTTAGTGATTTGTTGATATAGTTTTAGGTTAAGGTCCAGTTAGCAAGTAAGAACTCCATGTGATATCTAAATGGTGCATTTATTAGCAAAGAGTCCTAGAGCAGTGGCCCCTGAGGGGTCACAGTACTGTCCACATTCCCAGCAGAACTTCCAGCAAAAAGCTAGGCCTATTTTTCTCTTGCTGCTATTTTCAACCATCAGTTCCAATTTCACATAGTTTATGTTAAATTTTCTTTTCTTTCCTACATTGGTAATTTCACTGAAGTGATTAGCGAGGCACCAGGGCATCCTATTATAGCATTTCCTCCTTCATTCAGTTTCTCTATTTTAATCTATGCTACAAATCTCTCAGGGGTTAAAAGTACCTGGTGAGAAGTCTATGGATACTATGTGTATCTGGTAATCTGTTTTAGAGCTTTCGCTACTTTAAGTCAGGCTTGGGTCATACCAACTTGGCATTAAAATCTTGTCAGATCCTCTATACTCCTTTTTTTTTTTTTTTATCCAAATGCTTTTATTAGTCGTTTTCCCAAAGCTGGGACAAATGAAAGGAAGAGAGATTTACTTTGGCTTACAGTTTCTCAGGGTTCAGTCCAAGGTGGCTGGCTTGAAGGGAGAAATGGGCTGGCCGAAGACAGCTGCTCAACCCAAGGCGGACATGGAGCAGAGAGAGAAGGAGGAGCCACGGACAAGAGCACTCGCTTCCAGGTCGTAACTCTGGTGACCCACCTCCTCCCATCAAGGTCCGTCTCCTGACAGTGCACTCAGATGTATATCTTGCTGTCCAATCACCTTTCAGAAGTCTTGGCTCAAAACACGGGGCTCTGGGGGGACATCCTACATCTAATCCAGAACAGTGGTTCTGATACATGTATTTGAGAGTTCAGAGTCAATCTCAGTTCCCTCACCGCCCAGCATTGCCCACCTCAGATGTACAATGTTGCCGGTCTGGGGGCCAGAGTCTAGGTTCTTTGGTCTGCACTAAGGGAAGTGAGACTTCACCTCCAATGAACCCCATTCTTAGTGAGCTGGCTTTCACATGACAGTAATCTCAGGTAAATTAGTGAACATCATACATAATATTTGATATTTGTTATCATGCTAGTCTCATCAAGTCCAGGAATGTTGTTCAAATTATACTTTCTACCTGATTGATTTTATGACAAGCATACAATAAACTTTGTGGAGTCTTTCTTCTTCAAATAACTCAAAATACAGATTGTTTTAACATTTAAAAAGGAAAAAAATTATTTCTCCTCTCCTTAGTATATTTAAATAAGTACAGGGATGTTAAGCCTGTAATCAATGCAGCAAGCAAGAGGCTGCATGTCACAAAACCTTAGAATCAGCCATAGAAATATTAGCAAAACAAACCATTCTTTTCACCTGTGAACCAAAACACGGCTTTTCAGCTACATATTTGATATAACTGTGGGAGATTCATAGGGCAGAGAAGTGCACTAACCATTCACGTTACCCTGTCGTTGTTACCCGTATATTTCTTCTTTACTTATTGCTTTATATTCTGTTTCTTCATGTCCCCTTTCTATGGCAGCGAATCTTTCTAACATGTTCTTTATGTATCTTTTAAAAGCGTATATTCTTTTAAGGCAGGTATATTTGAGTGTATACAGGTTTAATTTACACAAAATGAACTGTGTTGTATTTTTACTGTGATGTTTGCTTTTTCCTTCTATTTTTAGGACCTACCAATACAGCACTGTGGGTAAATCTGTGTTTAGCTCAGGGTCTCTTCTCCGCTGCTACGGCTTCTGCAGCATGCATCTGTGCTATGAGCTAGAAATGGACACGCGAAGGGTCAGCATGGGACACCTCTGTGTGAGAGTCCCTCTGCTTGCTTACCAAGATTGTGATTTCTGAGTCATTAACCACAAAGATTCCTGTCGCACCTGAGCACCAGACTGTACTGTCCCCGTTCCTACAGCACTAGCGCTGTCCTATTGTTAACCCCAGGAACAACTTGTGGAGACTTTTCAGGAATTAGCTTCAAGTACTCAGGAGGAAAATACAACCAGGACTAACCAGTACTACACAGCATGAATCTAGGACAAGAGTGTGTGTATGTGTGTGCATGTGTCTGTGCGTATGTGTCTGTCTGTCCATGTGGATGTGCATGTGTGAGTGTAGTGCGTGTGTGCATGTGTGTGTGCATTGGGGATTGAACCCAGGACCTCACATGTTAAGCATGTTCGGAACCACAGAGTTACAGCTGCAGCACTGGGGTTAGAATTCTTTGACCTGGTTATTATCATTTCTTAAGTGTTAGAGAAAGCTTCTGAATAGTTCACCACTAATCGTGTACTCTTTGGGGTGGTAAGTAGGTCATTGCCTGAAGAGTAACCACTGAAACTTGAATTTTCTCTCTACAGTACATCAAATACATTGCTACTCTTGGGAAGAAAGGATAACACATTGATTTAGATTTACTTTCAATTAAAATCCATTTAACTATGCATATGTAGGTAGCATAGGTCCTTGTTGCTCTAAAATCAGTTAAAATAGAACTATACAGATGAAAGGAGAAAAATTATGTTGAAGCTTAGTGAAAACCAAAATTCTCAGAATTTTATAAAGTGTAAATTATATACACTTTCCTGAATAATATATTTTGTTAGGTATAATCTGCATATTTCGTTATAAATACTAGCTTTTCCCCATTATCAAACATTGCTTCATTGGAAAAAAATATGAAATGTCTATGGCATAATTTCTACTGTTTTAGGTGCTAATAAAAGGGCCAAAAAATTGGTGCCTACTTGTTTTATAGATATAAATAGTAAAAGATGGATGCATAGAAATATATGTAAAGAAATCAGTATCGTCAATGGCTTTTATTGAACTCTCCAAAGTACGACATGAAACTGTAGAACAGTGAGTTAACCATGATAAATCTGAAGGTGCTGTGAATGGAAAAATACACACTTGTATTGTAAGTGAACATTAGCATTCTTCTATCCTATTTTTATTCCCAGGATGATTCTGAGATGCAGGAAGCCACTGGGTCACTTCAGGTATCTTCAGCAAAAAGAAAAGGCACAGCCAGTAGAAATTGGTGAATATATACTCAATGATTTCAATAATTGTAATCACACTGGCCCCACAAAATAGGCCCAGCTGACCACCAACATCTGCTGTAATAAAAAGTGATACAAAAATTGAGTCAGTCATTATTTTTCATGAAAACGTAAATATTATTGGAAATTCAATTCTTTGAAGCTAGTAAGTTAGCTGATAATAATGGAGAAAAGGTAACTGATGTAAGTGAGGATTGATATAATACAAAACAACTGATACTATGTAAAAATAGAGTGATTGCATTATTTTAAAATTTGGCATCATTAAAGTACTAATGATTCATAATATCTGGCAATAGCATTTATTCAAGTAATTCCAGAAAGCAGGAAGAGAAAGCAAACATAAAGTCTGTTTCTGAAAATATATCTCAACAACTTTGGAACATGTGCAATCTAACTAAACTCTAAGGGCTGGGGATTTAGCTCAGCGGCACAGCACCTGCCTGGCAAGCTCAAGGTCGTGAGTTCGATTCCCGGTACTGGAAGAAAAACAAAAACAAAACAAACAAACTAAACTCTAAACAGTCCCAAATAGTAGCAAGGTCATTTCCACGTGTAAACTGATGCACAGAGATGGCATCACCAGATGGCACTGCTTTGCAGAAAGTTAATTTCCAGGCCGTTTGGAGTGCGAGTGTCTAAACTACTTCTTTTTGAACATTTATAGCATTTCATTTAACCTACATACATTAAAACAGCACTACTTTTTTTAAATTTCTTTTTGAGACAGGGTCTTGCCGTGTTGTCCAGGTTGGGCTTAAACTCACTATGTAGCCCAGGCTTGCCTGAAGTCACAGTGACCCTCCTGCCTCAGCCTCCACAGTGCTGAGATTATAGGCATGTGCCACCACACCTGGGGCAAGCACTGCTTTTTAAAAGTTTTTAAAAACTGTATTAATCTTGCTTGTATTTTTCATTGTGATAAATATATATATATATAAAGTAAAATTCATGCTAACTTTTTTTTTTTTATTATTTTCCTTTTTGGTACCGGGAATTGAACTTGGGGCCTCATGCTTGCCAGGCAGGCGCTGCACCGCTGAGCTACATCCCTGGCCCTTGTTAACTATTTTTGAGTGTGGACTCTGTGGTGTGAAGACCATCCACATGTTTACACACTCACCATGGCCATCCACCCCTGGAAATGGTTTGCTTTCCCCAGAGGAAATCGTTTGGAAGCTAGCTCCCCAGCCAACCCCTGCACATCCCCCTTCCCTTTCTGTGTCTGTGAACTAGAAAGCTCCGGTACTGGCTTCTTAAAATTGTTGAGAATTGTACATTTTCTCCCTCTCCGGGGTCTGCCTGACCTAAGGCTGGACCCCGCACCCTGCAAGCCTTCTTTAAACACGCGGACATCCAGGTCAGCAGGGAGTGTGGTGGAGGGAGCAGTGGTGGGGCCCTAAGTGCTTGGTTTTGCTTGCCCATTTCTCTTTAACCCTCCCCAGTGGAGCTCTGGGTGGAGGGTGAGGAGGCTGAATGTGACCTCTGGTGACCTCTGCAGTAGTCACTCTGAGGGGAGCGAGGATTCAGCCACCTCTTCATCAGGGACCCCCTGTGGGGTCGTCTCCCATGCTGTCCAAGGACAGCAGGAAGCCCGGACTCAGGCAGCTGCCAAACGACAAGAACACTTGTGATTCTTTTTTCTCCGTGAATAAGTTAAACCTTGACTACCAAAGGGGCGAAAATCCTGACGGAAAATTGAGGAGCAACTGAGCAACACTTACCAAGTAACTCGGGCACGCTGACTGCCTTTTGCTGCTGGGTTGTCTTATAGTTTAAATCACTGTAGTTTATTTCAATGTTCACTAGATTCTGTCTGGGGGCGAACACAGAGTTAGCACTGACTGTCAGCACTGCTTTTAACTCCCACTTGGCAAAGCAACGTCCATTCTAGAATCTGACACTATTGACTGCTGAGTTAGACACGGCATGTGTGTTCAATATTAGCCCCAAGTAACGGCGTTTGGAAGACACCCTTGTTATGTTGGAGCCTGGGGGAGAAGAATCTTTGCTCACAATTGATTTTTTTCATGCTTCATTCCTGAGAAATAGTAAGGAGACCTTAATTATCCACATCTGATCAGTAAAGTATTTATAAATAGTGAAATACATATTTAGCTTTAATTTCAATCCTGGTTCCTTTTTTGCTACTTCTGTTACTCTGGAGAAACTGCACTGTTCCCCTGAGCTTTGGTTCCCTCATCTGTGGCCAGGATTCTCAAGCTGATCTCACAGGGCTATGCTGAGAAGAAATTGAACAATGTATGCACAGGACTGGCAGAGAGCTCTGCATCCGGCCGTGCGCAGTAGGTTATTTTTGGTCACTGATGCACTTGAGTGGGGACTCCTTAATGTCTTCAGGAATCCTCATCTGCTGGGAGAGTGGCTCAGTGCTGTGTTAAAATCACACGGGGAAGGAAGCCCTCACCCTGGCTCTGGCCCAGACCTTGCTATTCCATTGCTTCTGGGTTTTTCCACTCGGCTGTTTATTGATTTAACACATTCCAAGTCTAACCCTTGATATTTCCTATGTCTGTAATGTAAAATTTCACCACCAGTCCCCCACCCAATCCTGTCTGCCTCACCTTAATGACACGGCCGGAGACTACCACTCTCGCCCTGCTTGTTCTTCCCATTTTGCCAAAAATTCCACACTATCTCCCTGGATTTTTAATAGCTTCTGAGCTTGTCCTTCTGCTTCTAACTTTAAGATACCATGCACCTTCTCTGCTTCACACAATAAGCAAACTATACTTCTGCAACTTGTCAAATTGTGACACTTCTGATGGGCCTTACTCCTGTGCCACTGAGATTTCCCAGGGTGCTCTAAAGAAACCTCTGCCTGGATTGTGTGTTTTGAGGGGGTGGGGAGTAACCAAGATTGAACCCAGGGCTACACCTCCACATTGAATTTTTAATATTGACATTCTATTATTTTTTACTTGAGGCAAGGTCTTGCTAAGTTGCCCAGGTTGGATTTGAACTTGCAATCCTTCTACCTCAACCTCCCAGAATAGTGCAATTATAGGTATGTGCTACCACCTCCAGCTCTTCACAGCTTCTTGAGAACCATCACGTTAGGTCTTTGTTCAACTGAACCTTCTTAGGATGGTTTTTATTGATCACAATCCCCAGCCTTGATAACAGTCCTGTCTGACTCTGGCTCTGGCTTCTCCAGGGCAGTTTTTTGTTACCTTTCTTGGCACGTCACCTGGAGTCCCCTGATATGACTGTACATCCCCACTGTTCATTTCCATCCCAGAGGAAATAGACACACAGCAGGGTTTTTTTTTTCATACACTGAGGCATCCCTAAGTCCAAAAGTACCCATTAATTCCCAATGCATTTGTAAGAAAGAGCAACAGATTAAAGAGAAAGCCAAGAAATAAATATTAATTTAATAATTAATTATTAATTAATTATTAAATTAATATTTAATAATAAATAATAATTAATAAATATTACCTGTAGTATAAACTAAAGGGAGAACCAACCAACCACTTCATGATTTTCAAATGGCAGTAAAATTGTTCATTAAGAATAAATCCTATTAGCCATGTTTTCTGAAATTATGCAATGTTCATTAACATTTCTAAGGGGCATGGCTATAAATTACTCTCCTTATTGTTTACAGCTTTGAAATCAATATTCCCAAATATACTTAATTCAAAATGTATCATTAATATGTGTACTTAATTTCCATTGGCTTAACCCTGGGTAACAGGAGAATGTACAATACTTAACAAGACAAACAGGGAACACTGTTATATTTACAAATAATAAAGCAGTTGCCAAAGTGAAAGAAATCATAAAGTTGTCTTGGAAACACATAAATTTTAGTAATGTTCCAATATTTCTGTCTTCCATGGTGCTCCTAATTTGCATGTGCACTGATAATATTGTTTAATTTCCCAAGCACAGTGTTCATGATCACATTCACGCATTATCCATCTGTGTCTAAGAAGATAAATGCCTCTCCCACAAAAACATTGTGGTATTTTCTCAGCTTCTCCCAGGCAGCTGATCGGCCCAGGCATTCGGATCTCACTGAATCTGTGATAGTGAAATTGTTCAGTGAAGTCCAAGAACATGTGGTTGCCTTAGGAAAAGCACAAATAAAATAAAGTCTGGATTTTAACAAAGACAAAGAGATAAAAAAATGAGCGCTATGTTACCAAACACTAAAACACTCCCTCCCAGGTGCCTTAACATGAGTGCTATATTAAGGGGAATTAAATGGTGCTGCATAAAACTGTCCTGTACAATTTATCTTCAAAATGTGTGAAGTGGCTGTTTTAGTTCATTTTCTCATCGCTGAGACAAAATACCTGGCACCCAAAGCTGAAGGTGGAAATGTTTGCTGTAGCTCAGCGCCTGTAGAGGTTTCAGTTCATAGTTTTCCTGACTTTAAGGCAGAGGGCATGGCAGAGGAGACACAGTTCACGGTGGGCAGAAAACAGGAAGCAGCAAGCAGGGGAGTAGCGGAGAACAAAATGGCGAGCGGCAATGACCGCAGCCCTCTCTCTGCCCATTACATTGTGTCCTGACTGTCCACCTGTAGGGCGGTAGCACTCAGAGGGGCATCCTGAATGCTAGCATCGCACCCTGAATCAACCCCAGCATTACATCCTTGTTCCCTGCAGCACACGGTCTAGATCCAGCCACCCATGGAAAGCTCCACCTATGAGCACATGAGGCTTTAGGGGGACATCTAGGTGCAAGATGTAACTGTAGAATAATTTTAACAACTCACTTCCTGACTAAAGAGATCTCCTGACTTCAGCCACAGTTCACAGTTCACCCTGCCTTCTCCAGCTGGGCTAAGCTTCTCCTCATCTCCATAGTGAGCTCTGCAGCTGCCACTTGCATTAGTCTTCCTAGGAAGAGCTTCCACTACTCACAGCCAATTCCCATGTATCAGTTATGTTATCATAATTGGAAAACTATCTATAAAAATATGATTAAAAGTAATATTCCTGGGATTATCCTGTTTAGCACATGGGTTTCTTTTCTGATTTACCAGCATGCTCTGATACATTGCCTACATTTTGTTCACATTCAATAATTCTGGAAGTCAGGAGATCTCTAAAATCCCAAAGTCACACGAAGTTGTATTTAAATGCAGCAGACATACTACTACAACAAATCAGTTTCCCATATTAAAGTGGAATATGCTGCCATAAAGAAAGATAAACTTGAGTCATTTTCAGGCAAATGGCTGCACTTGGAGACCATAGTGTTGAGTGAAACAAATCAGACAGGCAGGCTTAAACATCACGTGGTTTCTCTTGTATGAGAAACCCAAGTACAACAAGGCTGAAATAAAAGGTGGTCGTAGGAAGAATGGAGATGGAGCTTTCTAAAAGGGGACGGGCATAAACAGATGGAGGAGGGGAGGAAAGGAGGGGACGGGATGAAAAAGGAATGGAACTGTGCCCTGTGCAGGTACCAAGGCCACACAGGGAGTGCAGGCACTGTGTACCACACACGTGGACTCATAGAAAATGGCACAAGACCCTTTACAGTAAGAGTGGAATTGAGTATAAAGAAACATCTGTTCTGGAGACAGCAGTATAAGGAAAGGTAGTTGAAAATTTATGCTCTCTCTACTTTTTGACTCTGATTATTTCAATACCCCACGAACCCTATCTTAATGAAAATCCTTTTTTTTTCTTTATTTTTGGAAAAGTCATTTTGTCTTTTATGTATTTATATGGAATAACTTTTCTTTTATTAACATAAATTCTAGGGCAAAGCTGAATTAAAACATGCTATAGTACTGTATAAAGGTGCTGTGTAAAAATAAAGCAACTTAAAATCAGTTTGCACTTATTTAATAGATGTAGACACAGATACCAACATACTATTTTTATTATTTCAGATCCTAGGCCTAAAAATATAAATAAAAAAACAAAGAGAAATGTTTTCTCTTGCACTGGAAAAAAAGGACAAACAAGAATTCTTCATGAAGCTTGATTTAAAATTTCTAAGCTGGAAGAACTAATTTAATACTCAGTTTATGAGACAAATCAGAATCGTGTGTCCCTGTGAAAAACATGGAAACCAGAGTCAAAGTTCCAGAACATGACTTCATTCTAAGCCACTAATTAGAAAATTACTTGAAATCCAATGTGCTTCAAACTCCTGTTTTGCAAAAGAGTGGTAATTTCCGCTCCATCTACCAATACAGTTGTTGGAAGACTCAAGCTAGGTAATACCCTGATAGGAGCGTTTCCTGTTTTACACTGGTGACCGACCTCGTCAGCATGGTTCTTGCCCCCGTTGAGGTGATGAAGGTGTGACCGTGGGCAAATGGGTCCAGCAACCACCGTTTTCGTTTTCCCACAGAGGAAGGGGTGGAAGACATCATCTTACCTAAATTCGCATTTCTGTGCTTTCACTGTTAACTCAGTGACATCAGCCATGCTTCCCTTGATGGATACATGTTTCATTTACTGAACTTTTAATGTCTCCAGCAAAGAAAAACTTCACGTGAATTATACATAGTTTATAAGACTAACAAAATCACCTGATATAGTCCTCGCTCTGGTTCAGCTTCTTGGAAAGATGCTTCAGAGCGTTCTGTCGGGGAAAGGTGGAGTAAGAAATGGAAGCAGGGTATTCTGTCTCTTCACAAGACACAGGGCAGCTGGAGTTGTGTGTTCCCATGGTGCAGAGTTCCTTCAACTCTATGTGGTCTGAAATGAAAATCAGGACAGGGAAGAGCAGGTTATATCACAGGGGGGAGGACCGAGGTTCATAAAGTTGGTGGCAACTTCAATGCCAGTGTTCCAAACTTGTGGTCAACAAGTTGTATCACTATCTTTCTGCATTGGTGTTTGTGTTTTACCATAATACAGCCAAGGAAATGAGATATAAACCATATCAGAGCTGTTATCTTTGAATTCCTTGAGACATACTGAATTCAGATCTTTATTAGCGGTAAGAAATTCTTCCGGGAAGTCTCTGGGTCATTTCCGAAAGTTATTAGCTGTTTGGATAGGAGAAAGATGGAGTTGTTTGGTCTTGTGTCGTTCTGAGAGGAACTTTCAAACGTAATTCCAGAAGCAACTGGCTTAGGTTAAGCTGAAGTTGTCCTCATGCTTGGCTCGATGTGTACTGGCCTCAAGGGCGTGGCCCTTGCTCATCGGCTTGTTTCTCACGGTGGACCAATGACTGCTCAGGGAGCCTTGTCCTCTCAGGGCCTTCACCGCTGTCACCCACTGTGCTCTGGAAGAGCCTTGCAGGTGGCAGGGTCTGTCCTTGGTGCCCTTTGCACACCTGCCTTTGCCTGCTTGTGCCATGACTCACTCGTAAGCTTTGATACTAAAATCCTTCGCCCCTGTGAACCTGTTTTCACCAAAACCGTGAGTCGACAGCCAATTTTCTACTCTCTAGGAGAGCATCACTCTTACTGCATCCCTTTGTACTGTTAAACTACTGGTAGAAACTACCACTCTTTCTCTCCACACATGCACACTCACACTCTTGCACACTGGTGCACATACATGCTCACATGTCTCATACAGTTCTACGCACTCACAAGCACACACACACACACACACACACTTGCATACACAGAGATGCGGTCATACATACATACTCTTATAGTGCCACTCATGTTTTCTTTCTCACATGCTCACACTCACATACACACTATTACACAGAGAGATACACACCTGTACACTTATATACAGACACATACACAAACTCACACATGCGTTGTTGTGGCCTGTAACCATCACAGTCCCCAAAGGATCACACACATGTTTTCTTTTTTTCCCTCAAGGTCTCTCTGCAGCTGGATTACAAGAAATTAGACAACGTGATTCCATCTCTTTCACTCATCAGTGTCATTTCTTCGCAATATGTAAGCTGTGAGCCATAGAAAAATATAACATTCCTTCCACTTACATTCATATCTTGAAATATTTTACAACCATTAAAAAGAACCTGTTAAATCTACTCCTGCTGTCCTGGAGCTATTTCAACAATGGTTTAGAAGAATGGCTTTTTATAGAAGAGTATGTAATAATATTTCATTTAACAAGCACCCAGTGACTTAAAGTCATAAATAAGTTATACACGGAGAATGTTGTAGAAGAATACATTAGAATGTTAACATTGGTTGGAGGTTAAGGTAGGTATGTAAGCAAAAGAAAAATAGTATGTAAGAAGAGTAGTTTTGATTCGATTTATGCAAAAAAGTTTAGATATAAAATGTACATACAATGAAATGAATGGTTCTCAAACAAAGAGTAATGTCCAAAATTATACAGCTTGAACTAACTTTTGGTGATTATTTTCTGTTCTTTAATATTAGATATATTCACAATAAGCGTGTTTTATTCCTATTTTTCTTTTTATTTTCAAAACCAAAATTTAAACACAATATAAAGATTCAGAAGTAAAACCCAGAACTCTTCTTGTTACTCTGTCATTCTGTATCTTTAACTGAAGTCTTGAAATCGGAAGAAGTTTTTCTTTTTTTATTTATCTGTCAATGTTTATGTAAGCCACTGGTTAACAATAATTTAAAAATCTCTCTTATAGTCTATTTCTGTGCTATATACACACAGTATAACTTAATGGTTTATATTACTTTAAGTAACTTAACCTGTAACATAAGCACCCCCCCAAAAAATTTAGCCACTTACCAAGGACTGGAGAAACGCAGTTGTAGTACTTATGTAGTTCACATTCTACTCCATTTCCTTAAAAATAATAGATTTAGCATAAAGAGACTGTTTTTTTGTTTTGGTGCTGGGAACTGAACCCAGGACTTCACTCACATTAATTACACACGCTACTACTAAGTTACACCCCAGCCCCGAGATTATACATTTTATAAATTAAACAGCCTAATGACAAGAATAACTGTCACCTATTTTTGCTTTCCATCCATCCACCCACCCATTCATGTATCCATTTGGACACTTATTCCTTTATAAGATAATTATTAAGACATGTTGGGATTTAGTGAAAGCACATGTTGAGAGGAAGTAAGATGTTTTTATGTCTTTCCCTCTGACTATATAATTCAGTAGGAATAGCATGCACAGTGCCTTCACTTTGATTAAAAAAAATAAAATGGCTTTAAGTGTTATCATTTCATTTGACTCTGCTCACAATCTTGTGATGTGGGAATGGTTATTTTACAGATGAAGAAGCTAAACTTCAGAAAGTGACTTATCCAAGACTTTACCACTAGTGGGATCATGGCAGATTATGTGTAGCTTCTGTCCTGCTCTATCTATCTATCTATCTATCTATCTATCTATCTATCTATCCATCTATCCATCCATCATCTATCTGTCCATCCCTCTATCCATCCATTATCTATCTATCCATCTATTCATGCATTACCTGTCTATCTATCTATCTATCCATCCATTATCTATCTATCTATCCATCTGTCCATGCATTATCTATCTATCCATCATCTATCTATCCATCCATCCATCATCTATCTATCCATCCATCTATCCATCCATTATCTATCTATCCATCTATTCATGCATTATCTATCTATCTATCCATCTATCCATCATCCATCTATCCATCCATCCATTATCTATCTATCCATCTATCTATCCATCATCTATCTATCCATCCATCCATTATCTATCTCTCCATCCATCCATTATCTATCTATCTATCTATCTATCTATCTATCCATCTATTATCCATCCATCCATCCATCCATTATCTATCTATTTATCTATCCATCTATCTATCCATCATCTATCTATCCATCATCTATCTATCCATCTATCTGTCTATCTATCCATCCATCCATTATCTATCTCTCCATCCATCATCTATCTGTCTATCTATCCATCCATCTATCCATCCATTATCTATCTATCCATCTATCCATGCATTCTCTCTCTCTCTCTCTGTCTCTCTCTCTATCTATCCATCCATCCATCCATCCATCCATCCATCACATATTGTGGTGGTTGGGCTTTACTGTGTCCTCTCGGTTGGGTTGGGGGTGACCTAAGGGATTAGGAAGCACACTTCTGGGTAAGTCTGAGAGGGTCACTGAAATGCAACTCTGGCCCCTTCCTCTGGTACTGTTGCCCTGTTCTATTTCCTGGCCACCATGAACGGAGCACTTTTGATCCACCATGACCTTCTTCCATGATGTTCCAGCCTTGGAGCCAGGCAACAATGGACTGAATTCCCTCAGCTCGTGGGCCAAATTAATCCTCTCTTCCTTTAAATTCTTCATGTAGCCTATTGTGTCCCAGAAATGAGAAAGCTGACTAACACACATACACGAAAACACACTTTCTTAATGGACCACCTTTTTGTGACTAGGGTAAAGGTAGATACATAGTAATACTTGCCAAAGATTTATTGTGGATTTTGAGGCAAATTATAAAATCAATACATATTTGAGCTGAGTTCAATCCCAGGCCTGATTCTAAGACCTTGAACCTTAGCAGAGCGTTTGTTCACTGCTGTAACCCGCTGGTTTCTGTGGTTAATTCCAGCAATCCTGTGGATAACCAAGAGGCTGTGCACTTAGCATTTGCAGAAAATGTGTGAAATGTTGCAAGGAAATGTTCCTTGTGAAGGAACTGTAAAAGGTGAAAAGCAGAAGAAAATGCTTGTCTCCAGTATCATTTTTCCAAGGTGGGTCTTACCTCCTTCATTACTATTTCTTCCACGATAAGAGATAGTGAAGCTTTGGGAATGACCCATATCTAAAAGCTGATTTGCGGAATTGCTTGTCCAAATTGTTTTCTGAGTTACTTTAGATAATTTGTTACAGGCCTGTAGGTCTCACCTACCTCATCTATATGTACATTTAGAGAGAAATTGGAGTTTCTACACAAAGAGGATAATAGTACTGAAACCACTTAATACGCCTGAAAGCTCATGAGAATGTCACCTTTGTGTTTTGTGCAGCATCTGCCTTGCTTTCTCACCCATATTAATTATCCAGTTTGTATTGCATAAGATAATAAACATTTAAATATAAAAGTTTTTATGCTGTGTGATTCTATTCAGGTTTATTCTCAGTAATTTTGCCAGTACGACTCAGAACAGCAAATCAGAGCTGTGAGCCTGCAGTTCTACGGAACCCAGGGATCAGAAAGAGGTCACCTCAGTTCCTGAAAGCAGGAAATGATGATTCAAAACTCCTGAGAAGTGTTTTGCAGGTAGAGAGCGCGGTTACCAGGGAAGGAGTGGCATTAAGGTATGTGTGAGGCGTTGAGCACGTACAAGAAAGAGAGGGAGAGAAGGAGCGTGGAGTGCCGGGACCACAGTGGCAAACGCAAGCCGATTTAGCCAGGAAAGGAGACTGCCCTTCTTTGTAGATAAGCTGTGAGTGGGGGAGGAAGAAAACCCGAGTAAAACTGTTCAACACTGACACAGGCTATATTCTGTGCCAGGGATTTTAAACCAAGTATAGTCTTTGTAAGTACTTATGATAACCCCATCAGGGAGGTCCAGCACAGGGAGGGGACACCACTTGCGTGAGAAATGGCCACACTGAGATGAGCCCCTGGGTCAGATCCCCTCTCTGCCCCACCAGCTCCTTCAAGCCTGCTCCTCTCTGCTGCCTTCTGGAAAGGTTTCCAGATTCATGCAAAGGGGACTTCAAGTGGCCGAGACAGTCACAAAAATGAATTTCCTAGCAGTGCGATCTTCAGGGTGGATGAATAAGAATTTACAGGCCTCCTAACTCTTCTTTCGAATTACAAAAGCCTTGGAGTTGGGTGTAGTCGCACACCTGTAGCCTCAGCTACTGAGGAAGCAGGGATAGGAGAATCACTTGGGTCTAGGAGTTTGGCATCTGCCAGACCCAGTCTCAACAGAATAATAAATTAAAAGTAAGTAAATAATGTTTCAATGAAAAGGAAACCTTGATATGCATCTTTCAGTATGTGAGGGCATCTGATTTTACCTTTAGAAATAAGAGCCGAGGACCCACACTGTTGGCACACTTTTCTCCCCGAGAAATTTCTGCTGTGATGCTGAGATTTCAAATTTCCAAATTATCATTTGAGAAAGGAAGGAAGGGAAAAGGAAAAAATGGTGAGGAAAGAATAAAATAGAATCAAAGTTTTTGTAAAGAAGGAGGGGAACAGGGGCTGAAGGGAGGGGACGGGAATGGAAAAAAAGAATCAAGTTATATCATGTACAGTTTGCAAATTCCCTATGATGAATGTGATTATTATGTACACCTAAAATGTACCAGTAAACTTAATTTTACAAAATTAGCAATTGAGACATTTGGCAAGTACTTGATTTTTCTAGACTAAAATTTTGTGAGAATGAGAAAACATTTATTGAAGTTCCTTTTTTGTGCCAAAGTAACTAGACATACTGAGGTGGAAAGCTGTCATTCTGTCCTTACCTGGAAGCATAAAAGGCAGACATCCGCACTGCTTTTCTATGTGCCGGGCTTTGCACTCCTTCAAGCAACCGAAAGTGCTATAGCTGCTGAAGTTCCGCAGCTTGATATCAGGCTTGCATTCGCCCCAGGGATATTCTTGGTGAACTGTCTTAAGAGAAAATGAAAACTACATTCAAATTTCTCTCACTCCGTCTGCCTGATTTCCATCAGAGGCTGATATATATATATTTGTACTTTTCCCTCGAGCTCTTTGAATTTTTAAAATTGACTGTGTCTGCCGGCTTTGCCTGCTCTCTGAACCCGAAAATCCCTGAATTAAGTATAACAGTGGTCTTTTACAGTGGTGTTTTAACATTTACCCCAAATGCTAATCCAGAAGCTCAAACTGATAATTTAAAACATGAACTCATACAAGGAAAAAGTCATTTATGTAAATGTCATTTTACCATATTAATGCTAGCCATGAAATAGCAAGCAATATTACAAAAAATGTTCTTTACTGGGTACTTATTATGTACTAAACAAAAAAGTGAATGTTGTTTTTATGTTACTTAAACTTCATGAGACAACTGTGAAAGAGAAATACCACCACCATGCCCCCTTTAACTGTTCTAGGGGGGGAGGCAATTTAAGAAAGTTAATTAAGGCAACTACTGGGCAAATAGCTGGAAATTGCTAGTCAGGCTAGACTAGCCCCCAGATTGCAAGCTCTTCCCTGTTTAACTTCTTCCTTCCCAAAAGGTCTTTGAGACAACGCTCAGCTCGGTCACTTAGGTGTATACCAGTTAGCGAGCCTTCCATTTCCAGAGAAATTCTAAGTTGCCTAGGATTTGACAGGCTTCCCAGCTGTACGTATAAATTCACTGTGACAAAGTATGCACCTGAAAAGGAACTTTGGTATTTCTTCCAGTGGTTTAAAGGTATGAGAGAGTAGGGTTTCTGGTAAAAGAGTGTTAGTTGTGTATTTCAAACACTCACCACACCTCCTGGTCCCCCCAAGCCCCACAGCACCACATCTCTCACCTTTAGTTGGCGGATTGTCACCCTGGCATGCATCCCCACGGGTGAGGACAAGCCTAAGCCATCGAACTGTGGTTCTTTTTTAGGTGAATGAATAGCAAAGACAATCCCTGCATCAGCAAAACCAAGGGCTGAGCTATCCGTAAACTCCTCCTGAAACAGAAGACACATATTCAAAACACAAATCACTTATATCAGTTCCACACAAGTTTAGGTTTTAGTCTTGTCATCTCACGATGGCATTTAATCTACCTAAAGTCAATTATTTATTATTAGGATTCAATCTCTTTTTATATAAAGAATGTGAAAAATGAAAGTCCAGAGACTACTTTCATGGTTGAGTCACAGCTCCAAAGCTCTGAGCGTTCTCCAGAGGTCACTGCTTCCCACAGACACACTAGACATTCATGGGATGCCCATGAAAGGTTTCCTCTTCTCCAGCTGCTCTTCACCTAGGTGTTTTTAGCCACTTGCTCCTGGGGTGTTCTCTGCAGTCCACACATTTTAGAGAAGCACTTGGCCCTCTTTTTGCTATTAAAGTCCAAGGCCTTATTTAAAATTCAGGTTTATTTTCATAAGAGTGAAGATTTAAATAAATTTTTAACACCAGTGCTTCTTTGATATAAATCCTATGTGAGATGGAGAAATTTGAGAAAATTTAGTTGTAATTTTAGGTTAAAAAGAGCAGGAGTGGGCTTGAGAATATATTGATTTTTCAGTAAATGGATCAACTGCTTGTGTAATTATCTTTAATAAATATGCTAATGCTCCATTTGTAACTCAGAATCTTGTTCTGTATGGGCTCTTGTAACCCCCCATGAAATACATTCTTACTCTGGGGAAATATCACAGTGTTATTTATTTATGGGGTGTTGCACTAAATTTGTACAGTTTAATGACACCATTAAAGTATTTGGGAATTCTAGCTTGTGAAATTCATAACTGACCGTATGGTACCATATTATCACAGGGGTAATATTTGAAAGGCTTGAAAATATTAGTAAATACACACAAACACACACACACATACTACACAAATATAGGTAGATAAAGGTATTTTAGTGTACATTGTGTTTGGCAATAAAGGAAATATATTAAATAGGATATAGGAGGAAGTTATGAAAAGTACCTTACCAGAAATTCTTTTAAAATAGCCAATGGCCTCACTCATGTAGAGCAGAGGAGAAGGAGGTTTGCTGAGATTCAGTGTGTATTTATCATCTCTGTCCCTGTGATTTTTTTTCATGCTTAATCTACCAGCATTGTAGAACCCTCATTTATCAATCCATGGTAGTGGAGGGCATCTTGCCTGTGTGACAGCATAAGTACTTGCTCGGGACAGGAAGTGAGTGTTGACCTGCAGTGGGGGCTCAGCCTGTACCCTTGGTACCACCATTGGGCTTCATCAGTGTCTGAACACCAACCTCCCAGGTCTCCACACTAAGAATTTCTTAGGCCAATGATAACTTTCTGAAAGTTAGGTTTGGAAAAAGCCTATTTATATATTACTAATATTAAGTGCATAGAGTCATCTTAAATTAACTGTATATATTACAACTTAGAAGTGTCTGGTTTCCATATTTTCTGGTAGGAGCAATTCTTGGAATCACATAACAGGAGTTAAGTACAGCTAAGAGTTTCCAGGTTATGCCTGAAAATGTCACGTTTCTTGATCTCTACATCATTAGTTATGCAAAATTCAGAGGACACTGGGACTGGGTGAGAAAAATAAATAATGTCCAATTAATTGGGTCTATCTGACAGAATAATTTATTCTGTCTTTCATTTTGTTTTTGAAATCCTGCCTCTAGGTGATTTTTCAAACCCTGGCTATGTTAAAAAAAAAATCTGGTACCTGGCGGACGTCGAACACCAAGTTTAAGCCTCTTCCAGACACACTCACTTTCTTCTTTTCTTGGATATTTTCACCATGATTGAAAGTAAAACAGTTTCCGTATTCAGTGAAGATGTGTTTAAAATCCTCCAACATGAAAGGAAGTCAAACAAAACAAATTTAGTTTGGTGTCTTCCTCACTTCTAACGTTTAAATTTCTACAACATTTTTTAAAGTCCCAGATCTCTAAACAAGAATGCAAAAGTATCTATATGAATAGACAGCCTCATGATTGATGTGTATATTTCATGATAAATTTTGTTCTTTTTTAATGTGTGCCTTTCAATCTGCATGCAATTCTTTATAGGAGATGTCTTCATATATAACTAAGCATGATTTAGCATTTATAAAATTACTTATTTTAAGTTTTACCAAGGATTTATTGGATCAGGTCTTTGCCCATGGAGAGCTGCTTCATCAGTTTTTGTTTGAGGAATACCCATGGATCTTCCCATCACCCTCTCTACCAGCCTCCGTCCCCCACAGAGGTGAGCAGAGGGTGTAAGCTGGGCTGATCTCTTTCTCCCTACCCCACCTGTGGCCTCAGTGATTTGGTCATGAAATGGTGGGTGTCCTGATATTGCCCATCAGCTTCCTATGGGATCGTGACACAAGAATATTAACCTATGATAAGAAAAGCCCAAGTTTGCTGCGAACCATTTTGGCTCTGTGTGGGAGGAGGCCCAACAGAGTTATGATATCACAATGATATTCTTGGAGGACTTTGGTGCAGCATTTTTTGAAGCCATTCCTACACTTAGAATTGTCAACTTCATCAAACCAATTAATTTATCTTACTTTTCAGCTTACTACAATTTGGTTTCTGTAATACACAACTGAAAAATCTTCTCTAACACAAAATTTTCGGGTGTTGAGTTTAAACATATCGGTACTAATCAACAAGGAGATGGAAAAACTTCTTTTCTGAATGAGTTTAGGCCATTTCTGTTTTTGTCTTTGTCTTTGTCTCTGTTGCTGTCTGTCGGGTATTTTTTGTGTGCTAATGGAGAAACCAAAAGGATAAGGATTGCATCCTAGAATCATAAACTTGAAAGTTTAGTTAGAATTATTTAGCAAATGAAGATTACAGAATTGCCAATACAGGAAGTATGAGAATCAGATTACCTAAAAATCTCTTAGTTAATAGATTCTGGATATTCCACACTCTGTCTTAAATATAGATTAATTGCAAAACAGAGGTGAGCAGAGGGTGTAAGCTGGGCCGATCTCTTTCTCCCTACCCCATCTGTGGCCTCAGTGATTTGGTCATGAAATGATGGCTGACCTGATATTGCCAATCAGCCTCCTATGGGAGGCTAGAAAAGTAAAATTCTATGTGTTATGAGTAAATGTGTAATATACAGTATATATTATGTACATAATAAATAATTCTCATAGATTAATGTGGGGACACTCTCAATTTCTACCACCTCTCATACAATACCACAAGCATAGAAACAGTGATAGCTTCTTTAAGATGATACAAATGCTATCAGGAAATAAGTTTGTTAATAAATGAGAAGCTATAAAATACTTTATTTCATGAAGTTCTTTTTATTTTGGAAGAACTGTGATCCAAGAAAGGCCATCAAAATTTCTGTGCTCTATATTTCCTTGTCTAGCTATTTGAAATAGAAAATTTATCTCATGTGTGCTCCGTAGCTCCTGATATTATACTAGCAGATGTGACAAGGCAGAGCGAATGAAATATAACAGTTGAGTAAATGCAGGCTGATCCCCCAAGGGAAATGGTCTCAATGTGAAACAGTACAAGAAAGGAACATATTATCTTGATTATATTTGGGGAAATATCAAATTGCTACCTCTGGGCCACATCGTTTTCCGAAAAAGTTGCATGACAGCAAGGTGCTTCTACTGAGGTAAAACCCGCTGTTCTTTACAAATTCTGTAATGCTGAAGTTTTGGTGAGTCACTACAAAATCAACAGCCTCTTGAGAGCCGGTGGAATTGGCACTGATTTCCTGAGCATGGAAAACCTTGGATACAATACTCCATAAGAAGTAAATGATGCCAAATCTGGCTACAGCATCTGCTTTGAACCTATCAGGAAGAATAAAAGCAACAGTTAGAGCAACAAAAACTTATAATTGTCCAGAAGAAACCAAACATCTGGACTCCATCAACCTGTTCATATTTTCTACATTGTCCTTTATTTATAGGAGATAAGAAGTAACGGGATTTCTAAAAGATCTTTAAGGCACTGTGGAATTTATCTTGTATTTGTGCACACATTTTAGTTGATCTTATATACCTCCTACATCTTGCTCTGGTTGAACCTTAATAGATCTTTGGAACCCAGTTCTTCCTCCTAAGAAGGAAGTGAAATGGGTACTTGTTGAGCACTTTCTCTTAGACAACATGTTCCTGGGTTCATATCTGCTCTGCAACTGTCATGGATTTGCTGTAGGCATGTGCTCAGCTGTAAACTGGAACTCTGTGTCCCAGAATTTCCTTCCTCATACGCATCTGCTCACACTGATGTTCATCACGGGGCAGGAGCCCCGGAGCATTAGACTTGATCTGCTGACTGAGTGTGCTGCAGGGGTGCAGCAGCTGAGGGAACAGGTCTTCCAGTACTCTCGTCTCTTTCACTTTCTTCAAATTCTGGATCTGGGGAAAGAGAATGCAACCTGGTGAAGGCGCCAACTAATCCTGCAGGGAACAGTACCATCACAGTCAGAGCCAGTGATAAGGAGACACGCACTTCCGTTTTCTGTGTGCTTCTCCCATTGCATATCCATTGTTCCTTCCCACTACAGGTAGTGAATAATATTGACTTGGACCCAGCCAAAGAAACAGAGGCACTGAACTTACAAAGACTACTTAACCAGCCGTATGACTAGGCAGGGTCCAATCCCCATCACAGCCCCCTTGTTCTATGGCATGCAAGGTGGTTCTGCTTCTTTATCAAGCCCTGGTTGCTAAAGCTAATTATTGATCTCACTTGCCAAATTATTTCATCTCCTTGCCACTTAGCTTCCTTAGTGGTAAAATGGGTTTATGTTGATATAACTGACTTCAGAATGTTATAAATTATTTTTTCCTGAAAATGTTCAGAAAAGTGCCTGGAATATAGTGAGGGTTAGGTAAGTATTTGTTGAGTAAATGTATCATTACTGTCAAAGAGTTTCCCTGGTAACCCAACAGGAAATGATCTATTTAACCTAGCTATTGCTTTGTAATTTTCTTATTTTCCAAGCAATTTCTACCTTGCATTACACATTGTTCTTTATTAGCATGACTTACGTTTGTTTCAAATGTGATTATTACTTTCACATTTTGGATATTATAAATTTTGGAACTGAACAGGTTTTCCTTCTTCAAACTGGGTGCTAGAAGGCCTAGATCGCATATGTGGTCTACCCTTGGTAGGTCTACAAGGTCATGTCACAGGTGATTTTTATGTCATTCCTATATCTTCTTTATGTCCCAGATTAGTTGTGTTTCCTTTCCTTCAAAGCTATTAATCAAATTTCTTCAAGAAGATACATGAAAATTCTACATACTAATTGGGCTACATGTGATGCTGTCATATATATATATATATATATATATATATACACACACACACACACATTCAGGTTTAACATACCTATTTCCTCAAACATTTCTCATTTTTTAATGGTGAAACATTCAGAATATTGCCATACAATACACTATTTTATCTTTTGTCACTCAGCCATACAATAGCACAGCAGAAATCTTTGCTCCTAACTGAAACTTAGTACCCACTAGTCAACCCCTCCCATCTCTCCATTTTCCTTACTCTCCACAGACTTGGGAACCGCTGCTCTAATTTCAGCTTCTGTGACATGAACTATTCCAGATGCCATGAGTGACATCATGTGGTGTTTGTTTTTCATGCCTGGTTTATTGCACTTAACACAGTGATCTCCAGTTCCACCCAGGTTGTTGTTGCAAATGCTGGGGTTTCATTCTTTTTGTGAATGAACAGTATTCCATCCTGTACGCGTACCACACTTTCCTAACCCATTCCCCAGCTGATGGCCATTCGGGTTCATTCCATTCCTTGTCTCTTGTGACTAGTGCTGCAGTGAATACGGGAAAGCAGATGTTTCTTCAACAGTGACTGTATTTCTCCTGGATGAAAATCACATAGTACAACTGCTGGATCACATGGCAGTTCTATTTTTCATACACTGAAGGACCTCTGTATTGATTTTCCATAATGGGAGTACTAATTCACATTCCCACTGACAGTGGTAAGGACTCCCATTTCTTCCCATCCTTCTCACATCTGTTATTATTTGCCCTTTTGATAATACCCAGTTGAATGGTGATATTATTAAGCTTCTCTCACAGTGGTGTCTTTCCTACTACTGTGTGCTTAATAGCCTTGCTTTTCTTCATCAAGACTATTCCTGGTGATCTTGTCAAGAGCGAACACTTTACATTCACAGTAGATCTGAGGAAGTAGTACCCGGTTAACTCTTCACTGAGGGATGGGGGCTTGTAAATTACCTCACATCTCTACTTGGAATGACTGACAGGATAACAAGGATTTGTGCCAAAGCCCTGGAAGTTTGGAATCTTGCACAGGACAAGGTTCATACAAGGTTCACTGTATTCTTTCCAAAGTGATTATGCAGAAAAATGAAAGAATTATTACAACTGTAGGAGGTAGGTATTAATAAAATAGATAAAAATGTTAAAAAGATGGCATCTTAAAATATTCTTTCAAAACATTTTTATTATGCTAATAATGGTGGAGTGCATGAAGGTAATTTCAATACATGGATTAAATTTAACCAATAAGGTTCAACAAGATTAGAAGAAAATAAATTAAATTTTTGAGTCATTATTCATCATAAAACCAAATTGTTTTATACTGTTTATTTTCAACTTCAAACTTCTAAACCCAAATTACACTTCAAAAAACCTTACTTAAATAGTTTGAATTATTCTTTAATATATACTATTAAGATCCTAGTAAGAGAAAATACTAATAAAATATATCGATTTATTTAAACAGTTTAAAAACTGTCCTTTCAAATTTTAGGTTTCCTAGATCTGCCATCTAATGCATCTTAATGGTTTTAAATGCACTTTTCCAAATTATATGCCCAAATACCAAGTTTTATCTGATGTTCAAGTTGATGACTGACTTGGTTCTTTATTAAGTCCTGCAAAAACAGTGTTTGTCTATGTAGATCTATATGTGTTAATAAGAAATGCATATTTTACAGATAATTTTATAGATGTGAAAATGGGGAAGAATATCTGAAGATTCCCTTTTGAGCCAATTTCAACATCTTCCCAAGTCTCTCATTAGTTGGCAAAATTATTCACACATTTATTTTATATTTGTATGAGTTGTGAGTTTACCTTCTAGTAAAAATCCTTTCACACAAAAAACACACACTTGTATATACTTCATTTATAAAAATTTGGAATTAAAAAAAGCACAGTAATTATAAAGATGAAGAGAGAAAGCTAATTACTTGATCAAAAATAATTGGTTAATTAACACCAGTGCTTAGTATGACATCCTTTACATCTCGTTTTAATAGAAGGAAGCAGATTTCAGAAGTTTTAGCAAAATATAATGGAAATTTATAATGAATTCTATGATGAAGCTATTTTAGTGGAAATTTTCTACAGAGATATTTGCAAGCCATTAGAATTTATTCCAAATTTTTAAAGTATCAAAAATATTGCAACTTATGGAATTTATCGTGAACTCTAAATTTCAGGAATCTTCTGAATGTATCCTTGTGAGTTTAAGTCCTATTTGTACAGCCATTGCTTTATGTGAAAGACACTTCTCAAAAATAAAATAAAATAAATTTAATAAACTCTGAGTGAAGTGAAATTGAAAATATTGGCTGAGTGGTCTTTTGAACATTAGTATATTAAATGAGGGTAAATGTTGACAATTCTCAAGTTTACTGAAGGGCTGAAAAATGGAAATACAGTGTTATTATTAATAAATGAAATAGATTTAAAATATGTCCTTTAGGGCTGGGGATATAGCTCAGTGGCATAAGCGCCTGCCTGGCAAGTGCAAGGTCATGAGTTCAGTTCCTGGTACTGGAAAAAGATAAAAAAAAAAAAAAAAAAACCAAAAAAAACCTGATACTGGAAAAAAAAAAAAATGTCCTTTAGAAAAGGTTGGTGTTCAAAAGAAAAACTCATTACCTTTTTATTTATGTGCTTTTATTTATGTGCTATCATATTTATTTTAATTTTTATTGTAACAAAAATATTTAAGTCATTATTGTCACTTGTTCAGGCTCATGAATATTACTGAAAATGATTTTGTCATACAGTGGAGGACAGTGTTAGGAAATAATCATCTCTGTCCCACACAGACCCTGGATAGGGCCCCAGCACCTACTGTAGAAACTGTACCCTGCCTAACAACCCTAAATTCCTTGGGAAAGTTCTCTGATATCAGGTATCAACCCCCTGCTGATGAGACAGTTCAACGGAAAGGCGTGCAGAAAACCTTACCCTCAGCACATATGTTTTCCATTTCCTAATCTCAAGTCAATGGAAATGTTAATAATGAGAAATCACCTGTTCCTCTTGCTGGACTTCCTTGTACGTGACCAATCAGATGTTTCTAGCTGAAAATATCTTGGTATTTATCTTGCTCAAAGTTTGCTGAGCTTTTGACTGCAGATTAATGTTTTTCTCCAAATTGGGAGTGTCTTTGGCCATTACCTTTATGTGTGTCTGTATGTGTTTTGCTACTTTCTCTTCTCCCCTGATATTCTTCTGCTCATGTTGTTATGCTGAACGTTGGATAACATTTGTTTCAGGTTCTGTTCCTTTTTTTCATTCATTTTTCTCTCTATTTTTCATGATGTTCTTGCCTTGCAGCCAGCTAACCATGAACTACCCCCTCTGATGCCTTAAGCTAAAATAAACCTTTCCTCATTACATTGCAGGTGTCAAGTGTTTTTCTTTTTTTTTTCTTGAAAACTCATTGATGCAGACTGTTACCCTGCTCCATGTGTTTTTGAAGTCCTTGCATATACCTTTATTTTACAGTGCAGTTATCACACTGCATAGTGATTGTTTGTAATTAGTGTCCTTTTTGTAATTAATACAAGTTTTAAATGCAGGTATCAATACTTCTTTATTCACTTAATCATCCAGTTTGGTACTTCTTTAGCATATAATTATGAAAGGAATGAAAATGTAAGTACATAAAAAATCAATAAGCTCTTTTACTTCCCTAACTTTGTGCATTTATGTACAACTGAAGAAGTTCAACAGGTTTAGATATGTGAAACACTGCCTCAGGAAACTCTGCCAATAATCCAGTTAACGTTAAACTAGCAAAACACTAAGGACTAACTATTATTAAAAGAGTAAATTTTACCTGTTCAAATTGCAGAATGTCACAGCAGGAAACTCAATCTTTTCCACATACTGCACCTCTATGGCTGTGGTGGTGGGCCACGTGAAGTAGTTGACCAGGCGACTGTAGATCTGCCACACCAGGACTGAGACTGAGCCCAGCACCACGGCTAACCAGATTGCCCTTCGGATTTTGCTCCGGTTCCGAACAATATTGTGAACCCCATGAAAGGAAGTGGAGATGGCAAAGTCATGGTCAAACTTCCTTCCGTCAGTGGGAGATGGCAATGGCTTCCTCAGAAGATAAAGCTTTACCTTTTCAAAGACTCCTTAAGATTTGGCCAAAATATAAAGAGAAATCCATGAGTTGTGAAACCTCAATGCTATTTGTAAAAATCACAACTCATATATGATTAACTGGCTATCTTTTGTATGTGTCACTCATTAAGGCTCAAAACTCACTTTGCGTTGGATGACTTATTCAGGAATCGAGAACTCTAGGAGCTGGCTGTGTAGACCTATTGAAAACACGCTAACACACTTCCAAGAGTATCTATTGTTAAAGCAAAGGTATTAGTGGCATCATATTAATATATTGTTACTCCCAGCTTCAACTCACTTTGAGTAGGTTGCTTACAACAATTCAAATCTTTAAAACATCGCTGATTTTTACATTGCTCTTTCTCTCAGAGAAATCACAAAGTCCTTTTGATGTCATGAATGGAATCAGCCTTATTCTTCTGAAAGTTTTAAGTGTGATTAAAAACAACCAGTTCTCCAATTTATCTTTGTCCTGGGCTGTTCTCATTTATGGTGAGAGCAACTTCCATACTTCATAGACTTGGTAAACAACTGTTCTATTTCTTTGCAGGTGATTCAGTCCGAATGTCTAATGTTAAATTTGTATTATTAATCTATTTGCTACCTTTTTAAAAAGTAAATTCATATGTTCAATATTGCCAATAATCAATCAGTGTTTATTAATATTAGTTGGATGGTAACCCTGAGGATTGCACTAAAATATGTTGAAGATATAGCATATTCAGAATTTTCTTTTGCATTAATTTGTTTTCATTTGTCATTAGAAGATGTGAAGAATCCTTCTACACAGGGAAGAGTGAATTTTGGTCAGAGGATGAGAAGCCTTTGGAACGGAGGATACCTGTATAACCTCAGCCAAGTTTCTTAAACTCAGACCTATTTTGTCAATGGCAACCATGGTATCTGCTTGATGATTTTGCTGTATTAAATAAAATCATAGCCAGAGAGGGCTTAGCACATTGCCTACACCATAGTAAGTATTCAACAGCATTAGCTATTTCTTTTGTTCTACTAATCTAGTGGTGTTCTAGTACATACTTAAAAATTCAGCAATTTTTGAAACTTTAAAATTCTCATTTAAAAAATTCCTTTTGAATGGTCAAATAAACACTCAGATAAAGTTAATTAACTTATATTCTTTGGTTCAAGAATATTATTTTTGTCAGTTATACAGCATTAATTGTTCCCCAAATCTTCCACACTGGACTTAGCAGTTATTAAATCATTAACACATTGTTAAACTCTAATTAACTAGCTACGGCTTTTAGTCAATTATGGAAAATGTAATGATATACAACAGGTACTTAACATTTTCTAAGTATGTCAAATTTATTTGCAGTGTGCATTTTTGAATTATACTGTAATTATTTTAAAGACACTTTACACTGAACAGAAAATTTTGTATTAATATCATCAACTTGAAGTTGGACTGAAGATATAATGATGGCTCTCATATCGTGTTCTTTTTGGTATCAAATTAGGTAACATATATGAGAAATCTGGAAAAGTACCAAGGCAAAGTGAGAAGCATGAACATTTGTTATTATTTATTAGCAAAATAAATCCGACTATGATCTTTTGTGGATTATTCAGATGTCGCCTACAGACACATACGAATAATTTATTCTCATGAAAAGGCATGTTGGTCTCTGGGCAGGTTGTGCACTTCCCATTAAAAGTAGCAAAACTACCAGCAAGAAGAGTAATAACCAGGAACTGGCCTAGGAAGTATGTTTGGGGGCAGATGCCACCCTGAAACATGTAAGTTTCAAGTTTGCTTCAAACACCAGCCCATTTAATAAAAATCTCCTTGGTATTCACGTTCACCTCACTGAAGCACGCTTACATATGTGCTAGACATGGCTCTTCTAGTGTGAGGTGAAGAAGGACGGGGTAACGGGTCGCCGGGAAGAGGACTGGTTCAGTAGGCGATCGCCACCCGCAGAGCAAGCGCAGCTACCTTTCCTGACTGACGCACTGTGTGCAATATACTGATGGCCAGTGGCCCCGGCACTGAATGCTGATGAAAACACGAAAACTGGGGGGACATCAAGCAAGTTTTGTTATATTTTAAAAGACCTGCAGGCACCTAGTAAACAGAAATCAAAGTAAGAACAGCAAAGTAAGCAATTGTATTTTAACACACAGTAATATTTGTAAACTATTTTTGAGTTGCTCATACAAGTTCTTCACCTAAGTAACTAAAATTGCATTGTTGGTCTTTTAAATACATATCACATATTATGTCCAAATAACATTGAAAATCAAATTTCCCATATGAGTAATTTTTAAAAAAATCCCCACTTTGCTCGTTTCCAGCATGGAAAGAAGAATGGAAATTGTAACCCCTGGGAGGATCCTTCTCTTCCCTACCTTTCTCAGTGTGTGATTTCGGTTTCTCAAACTGCTCCATTCTGATTTCCCCAAGCAGGACTCCTCAGGGGACATTCAGTTGCATCAGTAACAATATTCATTTTGCAGCCTTTATATAAAATACAGCAGTTGAGGTTGTAAAATGTGGGAGCAATTTAAATATTTGTGTTGCTATGTTTTGCCTCATAAAGCACATAATCTGCAAACCAAAAATGGTGACAGAATCAGCTATGGCTATCGCAGAATAAAAAACCAAAAGTATCACTAAGAAACCACTTTCTGAAGAAAGGAATAATCGTGCCAAATCCCTGACCAGGCTGGTAGACACGCACAGGACTCACCTGGGGACTGTGCCTGCTGCCTCTGTCTGTGTTTCTCTGTGTAAAACTTGGAATCAAACTGCAGACAGGTGAATTTTTCTGTGGACAAGGTGTTCTTATTTGTCTTGAAGTTTCTTTCTTAGCTGTTGGCAATAAATAAAAACCAGTGAAAATGACCAAATAAAGCACTAAAAAGACTTCTTAAGAAGAAACAATTACTAAAGCCACATGAATTTAAATAAAAATAAAAGCAAACACTTTCTTTCTGGCTAACCCTTTTGAGAAGCGAGAATTTATATTAAGTAATGAACTGGAGAATGGGAATTGTTGTGTGTAGGTGCCACCTATTGACAAATTTTAGAAATTTCACATATTTCTACCTGGGGCCTGTTAGGTCTATGCTAGTATTTCATAAGCTTGTAACCATTAGCTGCAGGGTTACATTTATTTTATATGTTTGGAAACTGTCAGTACCATTCGTGAAACTACTCTTGCATGTATGTTTCAAGCGCAGGAGGTGAAGAGTGTTGGGCGGCCTCCCCAAAGGCTGAAGCAAAGTTTCCAGGAATGGGGTCAGTCTCATGGTATGTGAATTTCTGAGTGAAAGATCTATTCTTTGTGGTTAAATTACAATTTTGATGTCTTACAAATTTCTTTGTCGCTGGAACAAAATACTCAACACCTGTAACTTAAGGAGAAGAGGTTTATTCTGACTTAAAGTTACAGTCCACTGCTGACCAGATCTAGGGCAGAATGACGGCAGAGGGAAATGGCAGAGGAAAAGCTGTTCGCTTCCTGATGGCAGAAAGTGAGAGGGCAGAGAGGCCCTGGGCCACACTTTGCGGCCACACTTTGCGGCCACACTCTCAGTGACCCACTCTTCCTACCAGATCCTCTCGCCTAACAGCCAGTCAGCTATAACACCCCAGTCATCCACAGCTCGGAAAAGGCTCAGTTATGAGCACATTAGGCTGTGAGGGACATCTCCGTAGGAACGGTAACATTCACCCGGTCCCTAAGACTCCTACACAATCTCTGTATGTGAAATGCATTTAGTCCACCCCTGAAAGTTGCCAAAGTATTCACAGTTCCTTGAGTTCCTGAAACAGCCAAGTTCTGAGTCTCTTCAGAGACTTAAAACAAATTCTTAGGTGTGAACCCCTTTCGAGGTGCACATTTCTCTCTTTGGGATGGGGGTGTTTACCCTGCTCCATTATATGTCATCAATATTTACCTTTCTTTTTGATTTTTGCAGGGGCTGCAAAAGGCTTGGGGAACCCCTCCCCTATATCATTGCCAGTGGCTTCTCTCTTGGGCTGGCTTTGCTCACTCCTTGCAGTTCTCCTCAGATGCTCCATTTCCCTATGTCAACCTCCTGGGGTTTTCACTCCTGGCTTTACTCTTACAGCTTTGCCCACTGCCCTCTCGGGGGGCACACTGCCTGGCCTCCCAGGCCTTCTGAAATATAAGTGAAATATGAGTGGTCTTGCCAGCTTAAGCCGTACCTAAGTCCCCTTGAATTATGGCTGCAGCAGCCTCTGAATCCCTGGATGGCTGAGTAATGAGAACCAAATCCCTGGGGAACCAAATCCCTGTGTAACCAAGTCCCTAGATACCCTTTCTTGAGCAGGGTGGCCTGGTGCTCTCTTCTCAAAGGAAAGTCTTTCACTGTTTTATACTGCAGCCTTCAAAGGGCGGGGTCTTGCTGATTCCTCACTTGCCCTCAAGGCATCATTCTTACCGTCCTTATGCAAAGTACTTGGCTTCTGTTTGATGCTAATCATTCAGCAGTCAAGCTCTGCTCTCTCAAAACTTCACAGAATCTTTCTGTGAAAACTGAAAGCTTTTAAAATCATTTACCTGGGCCTTGTGCTCTTGATTCTTAATGCAGAGCTCGTTAAATGACCCGCAGCGGTATTTATGCTACAACACCAAGATTGGAATGCCTGGAAATTTCCTCCACCAGATTATTTCCCTTAATCTGAGTCTCTTGTGAACCTCAGGATTTAAGCAAAACCTAGAAATTTTTTATGCCAGAAGATAACACTCATTATCTGTTTTTTTTCCGGTACCGGGGATTGAACTCACGACCTTGCGCTTGCTGGGCAGGCGCTGTGCCACTGAGCTAAATCCCCAGCCCCAACGCTCATTATCTGGAGTCCAGTTGCCAGTGGAGCCCTTGTTCCCAGCTGAAAACTCTCGAGCCTGGTTTGCCATCTGCCCTTCCAGCTGCACTCTGGTCTTCTGAGTTCAGATTAGAATCTCGCGTCAAGATCGGTTTACAGCATCCTATGGCTTCTCAAGCCAACACCTCCAGGCCTTTCCAAACTGCTCCTGCAAACAAGTTCCAAAGATTTCTGAGTCATGTGACCACATCCTCACAGAAGGAGTCCCCTTGTCAATAACCAAAATCTGTCTCAGTTCCTTTCATCATTGCTGGGACAAAGCACCCTCCTCCCACACCTTGAAAGAGGACTTACTTTGGCTCATGTTCCAGAAGTGTCAGTCGGTGTGCTGCCTCAGGTGGGTGGTCTTGAGAGGAGAGTGGTCCCCCGTGATGCTCTGCCATCTCTCGGGTATTCTCACCTCACTCCAGCAGAGAATGGGGAAGCAGGGCAAGACTGGCTTGGAGCCCAGGCCGCCAGCAGAGAAGGGGGAAGTGGGAAATGAAAGTGACGTAAAATAAAAGTTTATTTATAATTTTGTGAATGTGGGGAGAAACCGCTGGGTAGAAGAATATGCCATAAGGCAGAGAGAATTCAGGTGAGCTTCTCCTGTGTCTTTTGGAAGGGTACTCACACTTATAGGGCTGAGTGGGTCTCTAAAAATAATGCTTTCCCTGGTTGGTGTAATCTAGGCCTTCGTTTCCAGGGTGAGCAGAACGTCAGGTCCCTAGGGGCACCCAGTAAATGCACACCTAGGTTTCACAAAAGGCAGCTTCCTCAGGCACACCCTGCGCAGCAAGCATGTGGCCATTTCTATCATCCCCGGCCACCCAGCTCGTGCCCTACATCATCCCTGCCTACACGTGCATGGTAAGTAGCAGTGTGGAAGGTCTGCCAGCAGAGGACAGCTGTTCAAATTCCATCTTAGGCACATTGCACCATTGAGACAGAATATTCAGCACCCCCACTTAGAGGAGAAGAGGTTTACTTTGACTCGCAGTTCAGTCTGCAGTCGGCAGGCTCCGGGGTGGGACAGCGCAGCAGAGGGCCTAGGTGCGGGAACCTGCTCACATCCTCGTGGTTGAGTGCCAGAGAACAACAGAGCAGCGGGGTGGGATGGAAGATGAGCTCTCTAGGCCAGGCCCTGGGGACTCAGGGCTTCTGACCAAGTGTACCTGCTAACAGCAAGTCAGCTCCAAGCCTCCACCATTAGGTTTGGGTATTAATAAGATAAAAAGTGGTGCTGATGTAGTTCTGTTCTATTGTGTTGGTTTTTGTTTTTGTTACCGTATTTTTTCTAGAACATTAAAAGAGACATTAGCCAACACAGCATATCTATTTAAAGAAAAAAAAAAAATCGAGATTTTGAAATAAGACCCTGCAGTGCAGAAAGGGAACTTAAGATATTTACATCTAATGTGTTACTATGTTACTGCCATCCGAAGTTTACCCACTTAATGGACAGGAAGCTTAGAAAGAAGGAGAAAATGAAATAGCCACAAAGGAGGGCATTTTGCCTGTTTTGTTGGCACATCTGTCCAACCTCATGGATAAAACCATATCAGATGGGAAGTGATCATGAAATACTACTGAATGACTAAAAAGTTATTTCAGCCCTGTCTTGTTTTCATACAAGACACTATTATAATAAAAAGAAGTAAATTACTTACTTCAAACTTTATTTTTAAACTGGGCATGGTGGCACAAGCCTGCAATCCCAGTACTCATGAGGCTGAGGCGGGAAGACCTCTGTGAATTTGAGGCCAGCCTGGGCTACATGGCAAGACCCTATCTCAAAAAAAAACCAAAAAAGCACATTGTTTTAAAATGCAAATTTAACGTTATAAAGGTTGGCTTATGGTTGGAGCTGCAAATCTGGATTAGCAGAGAGCAGGTTCTGAGGTGACTCTTAAAAGCAGGCAGTGGGCACAGGTACCAAAGAAAGGACTGCACGCTCTGAGGATCAGCTGAAAGACTGGGCAGGACCGGGAAGACTGGAGCTATGCGCCACCACCCGAGTGGGTTTCTGAACCATGAAGTGATGAAATGCAGGTGTAGGAGCCCGCTGTTGTAGCTAAAAGGACAACACCATGAAGATGTGCATTTCCGACACTGCTGAGAAATAGGATCCAAAGGAGATGAAAGGTCTTCCAGGGAGCCTTGACATCAAGACCCCATTTGCCTTCCCTGGTTCCCTTGGTCTCAGCTCAGGGAGAAGCTTGATGCAGCTTCTCCAAAGCCCACTCACCAAAAAAGAAAAAAGTACCTCGGTCCCTGAGCTTTTGTCAATGAAAATGACGTCTGGGGAAGAGAAGTCTGTCAAAGGCTGGGGACAGAGTCTGCTACACACTGTTGCTGTCCTTCTTGTCGCCTCAGAGAAGCCCGACAGTGCACTGTCCGTCGGGGAGCTCGGTGGTTTTTACTCTGCCCTGGGAATCTCCTTCCCCCATACAAAAAGGGTTGTGTGTGACTTTAAATTACATTGGGGCTGGTGAGCAATCATACTTCTGTGATTTTTCTCCACACCCTGTGATTCTTTCCTCTTTTACAGGTGG